GTTGTGAGTTTATATCGCAATTCTGAGAAAAAAAGTCAGAATTGTGAGATATAAACTCGCAATTCTGAGAAATAAAGTCAGAATTGCGTGATATAAACTCGCAATTGCGAGTTTATATCTCACAATTCTGAGAAAAAAAGTCAGAATTGTGAGATAAAAAGTCGCAATTACCTCTTTTATTTTTTATTCAGTGGCGGAAACGGGCTTCCATAACTTTGAGTGTTCAACAAGGGTACAACAATGGTAATCTAAATGTAAAAATAGAGGAAAAAAGTATGCATAATAAAATATCCAATATCAATAAATTAAAACATCTCTTTCTCTCAGCTGATTAATGATTCATTTTAATTTATACAAAACGTGTCCAATATAACTCACCTTGTAGCTTTAAATGTGTTTGGGACACATCGTTACATCAAATAATGTCAAAGGCTGTTTTCACAGTGAAGCGGACACTCACCCCCCACCACCAGTGATGTAACTGTATCCTCCCTGACCCAGTCCATACCCATAGCGCTCTCCCAGACACACCGGCTCACTGAAGTCATAGCAGCTCAGCAAGGCCTGCAGTCTGGGCAAGCTGTGAGAACCAAACACATTATGCCACCCACCAACGTGTAAATTGGTACAAACACCACAGCTTCCTTGTAAAATCATGCCATTTTCCAGAAAAAAGGCATATGTTGCCTACATGTACACAACCTGACAGCCGAATAGCCTTACCTTATAAGAGTATCATCATCTACAATCAACAGCCAATCGGTGTTAGGCACGTGACTGCTCAAAAATCTCCTCAAGATGGCGAATGTTTTCCCACAGTGACCTGCAAGCGGATAAAAGTACTTAATGTGTTGGAAACGTACAAGAAAATCAGCAAGCACCTTTCAAAACATAATCTCTTCAAATCCAGCTACCTTGTGTTTTTTTAATACCCAGAGGCGAGTTGACTTTGTCTGACTTTGCTGAGAGCTTTACAATTCAGCCCTCCACCTCACCGCTGTCATTCAACTGTCCAAAGAAACTGTCCATCCACAGCCTGAATGGGAAATGGAATGAGAACGGAACGCTATATCTCCGTTATGTACCCTTCGGATAAGTACCGCAGACATGATGTGATATCAGCGAGTATGTGAGGGAAATGTTTTCCTAAGCAAACAATCAGATTGTGATATTGAATAGAGAATGTGCACCGTCAGGAGAAGGGAAGACCCTGAAGGAACTGTACGTTTAGTAGAACGAAGAAACTGCACTGGTGACAATAATGCCAGAAAGGTATGAAAGCATGACAATGAAGGCTAAGGAAAGAGAGCAGAACAGGATGTGCTGCCTTCAGACTTCACAGGGAGAACAGGACCCTCCCCACAACAAATATCACAGGCCCCTGTAGTGTGCTGCTGACCCATCGGATAGCCTGCAGCCACCAGTTAATTCCTCCCACAAGACAGCGATGAGGGGAACGAGAAGCAGCCATCCCGAGGTGTGACAGTGTGTATTATCAGGACTGGGGAAAATCAGAGCTTGACTCCTTTTCTGTTCATGAGTGTGAATTTGAATTTAATTTGAACTGGAATGAAAGGAAGAATTATTTACTGAACTGCATATCAAAGAAATTCAAAGCTTTACTTCCACCAAGGTCCAAAACCAATACAAATATTAATTAAAGTAAATATTATATAATTGTTAAATTATTTATATATTCATAATGCCATTCAACTCTACCTTTCATTCCATCCTGAAGATCTGACGATAGCTGCTCGCATCTCAGCTTGTCTAACTGACATTTCTTGCTGGATGAAGGACCATCACCTTCAACTCAACCTTGCCAAGACAGAACTGTTTGTGGTTCCATGGATAAAAGCGTCTGCTAAATGACTAAATGTAATGTAATAAAAAGTAAATTAATAAGCAATTAATAAACAATTTATCATAATTTTGATTAATATTAACACTGATTATTTGCCTATGTGTTTGTACAAAACCACACATACAGTATCTCACAAAAGTGAGTACACCCCTCACTTTTCAGCAACCATTTTAGCAGAACATGATGCCCTCCCTTCAGAAACTGGGCCGAACGGCAGTTTTCCAACAAGATAACGACCCCAAACACACCGCCAAGATGAAAACTGCCTTGCTGAGAAAGCTGAAGGTGAAGGTGATGGAGTGGCCAAGTATGTCTCCAGACCCGAACCCTATTGAGCACCTGTGGGGCATCCTCAAGCGGAAGGTGGAGAAGCGGCATGTGTCTAACATCCTTGCTAAAGAAGCTGAAGGTGAAGGTGATGGAGTGGCCAAGTATGTCTCCAGACCTGAACCCTATTGAGCACCTGTGGGGCATCCTCAAGCGGAAGGTGGAGAAGCGCCATGTGTCTAACATCCAGCAGCTCTGTGATGTCATTATGGAGGAGTGGAAGATGATCCCAGCAACAACCTGTGCAGCTCTGGTGAATTCCATGCCCAGGAGGATTAAGGCAGTGCTAGATAACAATGGTACTCACACAAAATATTGACACTTTGGACACAGTTCTGACATATTCATTTAGGGTGTACTTACTTTTGTTGCCAGTTATTTAGACAACAATGGCTGTATGTTGAGTTATTTTTAGAGGACAGTAAATCTGTACTGCTATACAAGCTGCACATTGACTAGTCTAAAGTATATCCAATTTTCATTTCTATAGTATTGTCCCTTGACAACATATAACACACACACACACACACATGTATATGAGAATATATATATATACACATGATAGAACAATAGAACTATAAATACAACAACAGACAGACAGAGCAATAGACAGAACGATAGAACAATAGAACAACAGAGAGGGTTCTTAGTCAGAGACATCATGTCAAATGAACACCCTTATAAATAAACAAGTAGGGAGAACATGGGAACAGAATGTGCCAAGAGCTTTTTAACATCAAAAAGAAGGGAGAAGGTGATCAAACGAACAACTGACCAATCAGAAGCTAATTCAAATAAAGTTTTACTTTTAATTGAGTGTTGGAAAAAAACTGCAGAAAAGAGAGTGCTAGAGGGCATTCTATTGAAATAAAGTGCTCAACTGAATGGACAAAATGGCAAATTGAAAGTCTCCAGTAGAGAATATGAAGGTATATGTCCCACTTTGTGGCTCTGATTGGACTTCCAGTTCTAATCAGAAGTAAAGCACGGAGTTCACTTCAGCATGATGATCACATTTGCATAGGTTATCAGTGGTAGACTGTCATGAAAGTTTAGCGTACGGCTTGTGGGTTGGGTTGGCAGGATTAGAAAGAGATACTGAAAGTTGACCCTTGAGCACATAGCATTTCATTTATTTCATTTTCATTTATTTTATTTAACCAGGAAGAGACTTTTACATTTAAGAAGAGACATTTACTGACTGCTTCTTATATTAACTTGTTATATTTCATTCTAATCATCAGAAAACAGCCAAAACTATCTATCTATCTATCTATCTATCTATAAAATGACACCAAAGGGTAGAGTTGTGTTGAAAAGAAAAAAAATGGTTTTAACTATTTTTACCCAATTTTGCACCTTATTTGTAAAAAGTGTCAGTAACAATTCCTAATTTCTGCTTGGCTATGAATACAACATCAACATAAGATTGAAACAGAGCACCATTTTTGTACAACAGTGCCATATTTCTGTACAACAACTGATTTAACAACACATCTCACACATGATGAAAATATCAAGTATGAAAACGCATCCAATAACTCACCCCTCTCTGTGTTTGGCACTCCCAGATTAATGGTGGGTATAGAGAGATCGGCATAATCGCTGTAATACTCCAGCAGAGATGCTTGTTTACCCCATGTTTTCTTCACCACAGGAACTGTTGTGTGGGAAAAGAGAGAATCAATCAATACTTCAACATCCCTGCTTTATCTTCCAGGGCTGACAGTGATCAACATTTGTTATCAAAGATCTTAGATATCGTTTTTTAATACTGGAGTTTAAAAAATTACCCCATTCAAAAGTTTACATCCCCTTGATTCTTAATACTGTGTTGATACCTGAATGATCCACAGCTGTGTTTTTTGTTTAGTGAAGTTGTCCACGAGTCCCTTGTTTGTCCTGAACAGTTAAACTGCCTGCTGTTCTTCAGAAAAATCCTTCAGGTCCCACAAATTCTTTGGTTTTGCAGCATTAATTAAAAAAGTTTTCACCCCCCGGCTCTTAATGCATGGATTTTCCTTCTGGAGCATCAATGAGCGTTTGAACCTTCAATAATAGTTGCATATGAGTCCCTCAGTTGTCCTCAGTGTGAAAAGATGGATCTCAAAATCTCATGTTCCTTCTAATACCATCCTTAAAACACCTCAAAGTGACTAGCGAGAGATAATTATGATAATCGGTGCAATTAGATGCAACTGACGTGTCAGTTGGTTTGGTTTTTTCCTTCCCATATGGTTCTCTGAATTCAAACTGCAACACTTTATCTGTCTCATTAAGTTTGAATTGATGCCTGGTGCTTAGCGATTGCCCAGAGTTGCTGTGAGTGTTTTTTGTTTAGTGAAGTTGTCCACGAGTCCCTTGTTTGTCCTGAACAGTTAAACTGCCTGCTGTTCTTCAGAAAAATCCTTCAGGTCCCACAAATTCTTTTTGCAGCATTTATGTGTATTTGAACCCTTTCCAACAATGACTGTATGATTTTGAGATCCATCTTTTCACACTGAGGACAACTGAGGGACTCATATGCAACTATTACAGAAGGTTCAAACGCTCCAGAAGGAAAAACCATGCATTAACTTTTGAACAGAATGGAGAGATGTGTAAATTTTTCTTATTTTGGCTGAATATCATATTTTTTCATTTAGTACTGCCGTTCAGAGGCTACAGAAGTTAGTTACAAGTTTCCCAGAAGACAAAATAAGTAAAATTTACCCTGATCTTCAAATTAAAAAAGTTTTCACCCCCCGGCTCTTAATGCATGGATTTTCCTTCTGGAGCATCAATGAGCGTTTGAACCTTCAATAATAGTTGCATATGAGTCCCTCAGTTGGCCTCTGAGCGTTTGAACCTTCAATAATAGTTGCATATGAGTCCCTCAGTTGTCCTCAGTGTGAAAAGATGGATCTCAAAATCTCATGTTCCTTCTAATACCATCCTTAAAACACCTCAAAGTGACTAGCGAGAGATAATTATGATAATCGGTGCAATTAGATGCAACTGACGTGTCAGTTGGTTTGGTTTTTTCCTTCCCATATGGTTCTCTGAATTCAAACTGCAACACTTTATCTGTCTCATTAAGTTTGAATTGATGCCTGGTGCTTAGCGATTGCCCAGAGTTGCTGTGAAGGGCTCTAATAGTGGAGAGAAGACTGGAGTGATTCCCACCGGGGCATTCAGCCAAAGATCTCTCAATACGGAGTCACTTCGGAGGTCAAACAGTGGTGCTTGCTGAACTGTTAAAGCGTAAGGACATCGGACTTCATCAGCAGTGACTTGAGCGGTGGGAAGCGATGACGTGCAGGGTTCGAGGAGCCACGAGTAATTTTTCGCACAGCCTCTGACACACGATATCATAACTAAGTGCTCTTGTGAAGAACGGGAGGACCCCTTGAGAGCGAGGTGGCGACGTGTGTGTTAGGAGCGCTGATGATTAAGAACGCACCACTCACCTCTGTCGGAATGGAACTTCTTGCAAGTTTTCACCGCTACGAAGATGTTGTCGCTCTTAACAGGCTGGCCCTGGGGACACAGGTGAAAAGAAGGTTTTGAATGATTAAATAATGCTCAATGATATGTAGTCAACACTACACAAATTATTCAGACAATTTAAATACTTCTCTACTGTGCAGAGCTGTGAAAAAGTAAGAACACTACTTTTCTTCTTTTTCCTCTTTTTCTTCAACATACACTATTTGGACACAGATACTGAATTGGCATTAACTGAACAGATACAAGGCTGATAATAAAATATCATTTAATAAACGACAATCGGAGTGTACAACTTATACAGAAATACCCATATTTTAGGCATAAAAGATTAGTACACTTTTACATTTATAAATATATCAAGGGTTTAAAATTTAGAATCATAATAGTTTAACAATTATAGAGGGCCACACCTTATATAGGCTTCAGTTAACTGATTAGGTTTGATCAGAAGCATTGAAATACACTGCATTATCATCTTAAGCACTGTTGCTATTGTCAATTAAAACTACTACAATCACTGAAATAAAGCTGAAATAAAACATAAATATTAGATGAAAACTTAAATGAAAATTAGACATGTTGTCTTGGTAACCAACTTAAAGTTGAAGTTGAAGTAGTGAAATAAAATAAATGAAAGCTAAATAGAAATATTAAAAAATACAATACAATAAAACTGAAATTATAAAAATAAAAGTGAATAAATACTATAACAGTATTTAATAATTAATACTAAAATAACACTGATGCTAAGATAAAAAAAAATGCACCTGAGCTACTCAGGAAAAAAAAATTGAGGCTTTATTTAATATTAATATTTTTTAATATTTGTAAACTGCACACTTGTAAATAACATATCTGTACATTCATTTAAACAACTAAATTTTTTCTATAGTGCATTATTTCATTTTCTGTTTTTATTATATTAGTGTTATATTTCATCTCTACTGTGTAAAATTCTCTGTTATAAGCAGGAGTAAAATAATCTACAAATGGAGAAGGATGCAGATAACTGTGCAATAAATGAATTAAATTAACTGCACTGCTCTCAAAATAAGCACACAGATAAAGAACATAATATTAAACTTAGTGGGTGAATTTTTCCTTACAGGCCATGAAACTGTATATTTTGAAACTGTAATTATTTTTATTTCAGAAATATATTTTTTATTTAATTTCAAGTAAATATGTATTATTTCATTGTTTGTTAATTGTTTATTTCTGACAACAGCTCAGGTCACTCTGTTCAGCATCATATAAGTGATGATTCAGTCTCTGTTGTTAAAACTGCACCTGTGAAGTCACATCAGTAACAATTTTCATTTTGGAGGCATCCTATTAATGTGAGGGATATTCCACATTAGTGTGTTTAGTCACCCTTCATAAACCTTTCTAATTTGCCACTGTGAATCACAACAGGTGTTTTCAAACCATCAGCAAAATCCATAGTATTATACCAAGACCATTTACTCACTAGTCATCTTTACTAGAATAGATGCAAGCTTTAAAGGGTTAGTTCACCCAAAAATGTTATATTAAAAATTGTCTTTGATCTTTCAAGCTGTTTAATGCCATTCAGCGGGTGTTGCATGCATCAGTCCAAAAGTAGTTCAATAAAAAGCGCACATCCTTAAAAAAAGTGTCTCACATGGCTCTGGGGGGTGAACAAAGGCCTCCTGTAGCGAATCGATGAGGGTGAGTAATTTATGCGCTAATTTTCATTTTTGGGTGAACTAACCTTTAAGAGTCACAAACTGCAATAGAGGTTGTTTATCCTCAGGAAACATCTGGCCTTCTAAATCAAACTTGTGATTTTCACCTTTCAACAGACACTGCAGTCCCGTATTATGCCAGTGTGTGTTTCTGTGTATTTCTGGTTGAGGTTTTGGTTCTGGATCTTAGGAGAGCATGCAAATGCCTGATAACCGTAACGGAGGTAAAAGTGCTCAGGACTGCTTCAAGGAGATATTGCTTTGATCTGAGCCCACTGTGAATATTAATGCCAAGAGATTCTGGATGTTTTTGTCAGAAGAGACGAAACATAGGGGCAGGAGAGGACAGCTAGTCCTGACTGCAATGACCCGATAACACTGGTGCCCTTTTGAATAGCCGGCTGTTGAAAATATGCATCGTTATTTAAAATATTTAGCTTCCCTTAATTATTTTGTAGGATATAAATTATTATTATATATGATATTTTTTTATTTTTTTATTTTATTGATAAATATTTTATATTTCAAAAAAATATAAATACATTTAATTTTTTATTGTTTATTTTAGTTTTTAAATTTTTAAAATACATTACAATATTTGCAATTAAAACCTCAAAGTGTCACTTAAAGTCAATTAGACTGTAATATTTATAATGGAAATAGATGCACTTGATGGTGATATATGTGAACATATATATTGTTTATATTATATTTTTACATTTACATTTAGGCATTTACCAGACGCTTTTATCCAAAGCGACTTACAATTTTTTTTTTTTATAAAAGAATAATTTTTATATAAAAGAAAACAAGCAGATAGAACCGAAAAAGAGAACATTAGTGTTAGAGGGTCTGATATTTCTCTCATATATCTCTCTCTTTTTTTTTTTTACAAAGAAAGAAAAGTCAAAAGAATAGAAAAAATAATTTTCACAAAATGATAGTTTTTTTCCTGAGCATAAGAAAAAAATCAAAATTAAAAATCTTACTCATCCCAAACTTTTGAACGAGTAGATAGAATAGAAAAAGTATAGAGAACATTAATGTTAGAGGGTCTATATATATATATATATATATATATATATATATATATTTTTTAGAGGGTCTATTTTTTAATAAAGCCTCTACCATAATCTATTTTCCACCGGGTGTAAAAGTCCATGTATCCTGAAAAAAGTATCACAGGTCTCAAAAAATATTAAGCAGCACAATTTTTTCTAACATTGATTATAAATCAGCATATTAGATACAAATTATAAAAAATAAAAAAATTTTTTTTACTTAAATTCAGTGTAACACTCACAATTGTCTGCATGTGTGAAAGAAAGTGACTAAAATGGAAATAAGGACTAAGTAAAATACTTAATATAACTAAAAGTATAAAAGCTTGTCAAATAAGACTCTCTAGTTTACTCGATTCAGAGCCTCAATCCCAGCAGCTTATGAATTATGTAATATAATGTTTCCAAAAGAAACCACAAAGTGGCACTTAAAATCAATGAGACTGTAACGGCCCATAATAGAAACAGGCGACAGACACTTTAATGTGCTTGATGGTGATGTCTGCGAACAACACAACTTCACATATTCATAGTCATTTGAGTAAAGTTTTAAACATAACAGTTATGCAGTGAACTCAGTCTTCAGACTGAAACAGGATGAAAAGATGAAAAGGCTCATGACCAGCAATGGATTAAGATAAATGGATGTTTAATTAAACTCATAATTTTTGATTGGGATCAAACCCAGGCATTCAGAGACTAAATATAGAGTTATAATAAGCGATCTACCAAAACATCTTCTTCATCATACTCATGTACTGAAGCGCTGGATTGATTTCCCAAAGGTCGCATGCACACAAGGCTATTAGATGTGCTGTCGTTTAAAGGAAAACATTATGTACCAAATTACCGTGCTGCTATTATATCAAATGGATAGTATTATCTTAAAGGACTTTCATCTGTGGAACACACACATACAAAACAATAATCTTCTTAAAGTAAAAGTAATATGATATTCTGTCACTCAGGTGTAAACTCTGACGCTCCATTTCATTCATTCATTTAGCAGATGCTTTTATCCAAAGTATTTCAGCACAAATCACATTCATCACTTCTACCCAAGGTTTGCACCTCCTCTCCTGTCAGCCTTCTCCACATACTGATTAGGTGTGTGTGACAGGTGTGTTAAGTGCTCGGTGTGGAGGTAACCTACACACAGTGGTGATTGGCTGCTGACAGTGGTGGCACAGTACTGAGCTCTTGGATTATGCTCTGGTATTGTGCAAAGCTCTGGAACCCCCGTCAGTCGAGGTCCCTTTCCGTCCTCCCAGATGTACAGCGCCACCTGCAGGAGAAAAAGAAGAATGATTTAATAAAACATTCTTTAAATTAATAGCTCTCCAAAAAAAAAGAAGAAAATTTGCTGATAATTTACTCATCTTCAGGTCATCCAAGAGTTTGTTTCTTCATCCAAACAGATTTGGAGAAATTTAGCTTTACATCACTTTCTCTCCAATGGATCCTCCGCAGTCGATGGGTGCCGTTAGAGTGAGAGTCCAAACAGCTGATAAAAACATCACAATAATCCAGTTCTCCAGTTGCTCCAGTAAAAAAAAAATCCATCCACCGTTATCTTCTGACATCAAAATCCACCAACATATTTGTTTAGATCTGTTTTTGCTTGTAAATGGTGCTTGATCTGTGCATATTTCTCTCCTGATTCAGACCAGATCACTTTTTTACTTAAGAAAGTATCATTATGGATAATGAACTCATATTTTAGCTGGAAGCATCTTGATCTTTCACTTCACAAGACGTTCATTGATGGACTGGAGTGGATTATTGTGATGTTTTTTATCAGCTATTTGGACTCTCATTCTGACGGCACCCATTCAATGCAGAGAATCCAATGGTGAGCAAGCTACATTTCCAAATCTGCTCTGATGAATCACGAAGGAACAAACTCATCTACATCTTAGGTGACATGAGGGTGAGTACATTTTCAGCAAATTTACTCATCCTCATTTCGCTCCAAACCTGTATCTCTTTCTTTCTTCTGTGGAATACAAAATAAGATATTTTAAAGAATGTTTTCATTGTTTCAAGTCAAAGGGGTCCAAAACTGCACGGGTTCCCATTGAAACACTGAAACTTTTAAAAAATATCTTCTTTTGTTGTCTACAGAAAAACATTAGTTTGGAATGACACGAGAATGAGTAAATTACAGAAGTTGACAATGAATAAATGACAAAACCTTGTTGATCTAAATTGTTGAAAGCCTGATTTAAACCTGCAGCACTCCATAAGCACCATGATATGTTAAGAAGAATGGAACATTACAGTACTTTAAAAAGTTGTTTTCGTTTCTGTATATAGAGATAGATCTCCCGTACATTTTCAGCAAATTTACTCATCCTCATGTCGCTCCAAACCTGTATCTCTTTCTTTCTTCTGTGGAATACAAAATAAGATATTTTAAAGAATGTTTTAATTGTTTCAAGTCAAAGGGGTCCAAAACAGCACGGGTTCCCATTGAAACACTGAAACTTTAAAAAAATATCTTCTTTTGTTGTCTACAGAAAAACATTAGTTTGGAATGACACGAGAATGAGTAAATTACAGAAGTTGACAATGAATAAATGACAAAACCTTGTTGATCTAAATTGTTGAAAGCCTGATTTAAACCTGCAGCACTCCATAAGCACCATGATATGTTAAGAAGAATGGAACATTACAGTACTTTAAAAAGTTGTTTTCGTTTCTGTATATAGAGATAGATCTCCCACACATGAAAATGAGATTCTCAAGATGTATCCTATAAATTATAAGACTGTCTGTCCTCAGCTCTGCGGGGACTCTGCAGGGAAAGAACTGAAGAAGAACAAACACACTAATACTGCAGAAGGTACAGTGAAGCTAATGTTTTTTTTTTGAGACTATGGGGAATAGATGGGAAGAATCCTTTATTTTTGTAAGAATTTTGTGGAAAGAGAGCTAGAGACATAGGGAGAGGGAAACAGATGGAAAGAACGAGAATGTGGAAATACAAAATGTCCCTGAGAAATGTGCCGGTAGATTCTGATACTGCTAGAGCTACTCCAGTTAAAGGGTGAAATGAGGGAATGATTACAAAAAAAGCTTCTTTTTCCACAACAACGACAAGGCACTTGCAATACAAGCATGACGAATGCCAAACATTTAAACCCCAAACTTTTGAGCACTATAGTCTATGCATAATGTTCTCTATAAATTGTAATATTTTTGCAGTGTTTGAAATGTTTCTACGGTGATAGTTTTCAGCTATTTAATCACACCATTTTTCTTAGTGCACATTTTAATCTACATTGGAATCGATTTAAAATAACAACCGTCATCCCAAAACATACTCCTTAAAAATTCTCACCTCATGTTTCAGATCTATGGTGAAGTCTGATTTTAATGGCTCCTCTTCTATTTTGCTTGTCAACCTAAAATGTGAAATAACTCAAATTAGTCATCAAAATGTTAAAAATACACACAATACCTGTTCATACATGGCATTTCATGGTTTAAAAAAAATACCATAGGTACTGGAATACCATGTTAACACCATAGTACATGTCTACTGCAATTTTTCAGTACCATGGTATATATCAAACTACCATGGTATCAGATATCAACACTTTAACAATGAAATATTATTCATTCATATCTATAAAAACATGTCATTCTGAAACAGGATATGCTTCTGACAGCAGTTCAGCTGAGGGTGTCTTTCTAACCTGTTGACAAGAGGGATGCTAAGCGCCCATCCTGCAGAGAAGTCTGGGTACTGGAAAGCCGCAGGGTTCTCAGAGAAGGCATAATGATGGATGATGGTGGACTCTTCATCATGTAGAGGCTTGCCAAGAAACCACTCCTGAGGACAAAATGTGGAGATCAATCAGACCGCGATGGTCATCTCAGTCTAAATCACAGCGTAACAGCTGACACTCGTTCAGATGCTATTGTGTGATGGTCTCAGACATTAATATATTACAATCTCTGATTACAAAATTCTTGAGGTTGTTTCCTCAACACAGTCAATACAGCAATGTAATTTAGTGACTATGGAAGGTTTTCCACCACACAATAAAATTACTACAAAGTTAACTGTGACTCACAAACTTTCTTTCCTCAGAATTGTGAGTTTATATCTCCCAATTACAGGCTCATAACTGTACGTTTACATCATGCAATTCAGTTTTTTTCTGTCACAGAATAAAAAATAGAAAAGGTAATTGCGACTTTTTATCTCATAATTCTTCCCTTTTCTCTCAGAATTGCATTTATATCTAACAGTTCTGACTGTTTCCCCCAGAATAGCAAAGAAAAAAAAGAAAAAAATCCTTTTTTCTTTTTTTGTGGTGGAAATAAGCTTCCATTAAGTGACAATCCGATCAAGTGACAGTGACATTGTCATAACTACAAAGGGGGGAAAAAAATTATTTTAATGGTTTATTCATAGAAAAGTTCTTACTGGTAGTGCTGTGCTCAACAACTGCCTGTCATGTTAAATGCCCTGTGCAAGTGACTTATCACAATGTAGTTCACATTATTATGTTACTTTGAAAAGGCTCTGGTAAACTGATTTTTAATGAAGTGGAAATCTGTGATGAGTCACTTGCACAGTTCATTCGACAAACCAGGCAGCTGTGAATGGCTTTACATTATCAAATTGCATTAATATATCGACAGCTGAAATTGTGAAGGCGAGTCTAAGAAGTGATCAGACTTTATGCTTATCTATATTACTTATTCTGTGTTAAATGCCATCTGTGAGGACAACTACAAGCAAAATCTGACAACGCAACACATTTTAAACAGAACAACAGGAACAATAACTATAAAGATTTTTAAACATATTTAAATTCTCAAGATTCTGATTGGGTGTCAATGTCTTTATCGTTCATCACCTGGAAAAAAAATCGTTCTGAAAGTGATTCCAAAGATATTGTTTCTCTGTGCCTTTATTGTTATAGCTGTGGTTTGTACTCTGCTATTCTTTAATATTGAGAACGATTTTTTGAACTATATCTTTATCATTATCTTTGTAGTTATTGTCCTTGGTGTCAACATGTGCGGGTGAAAAAGATTCAGTCAGGAAATTCTCCCCTTCATTACTCTCTCATATAAAAAATATAGAAATTATTACAGACATCAATTACCAAGTCCATTTTATGAATAACAACAACAAATTGTTTGGATATCACTTGTAGGCTGACGCATTTTGCAATTGCAGTTAAGAGGGTTTTAACAATGATAAAGTAACACATAATGATTGGCAACCCCACAAGAAATAATAATATTTGTAATGTTATTAAATAATATTATTGTTATTGTTAAAAATAATAATAATAATTACTACTACCTTTACAATATGAATATTTCCCAATATACAATTAATAATTAATGCTTTTATAATATATAATATTAATAATGAATGCTTTTGCCAAATCACAACTATATTAATATTCAGTACAACAGCACTCTTGTTAATCTGATATCATTTAAATAAGTCCAAACACGGAACATATAAATCTTAACAAGAAATCTATTAAACGATAATCCAAAGTGAACCAAACTTTTTTAACACTGAGATTTCACTATGTTGGTAATGTCAGTATTAACAGTGCTTACTTAGGCAGTAGTGGGAGAATGCTCCAGTCTCCCTCATTGTCTGACAGTGTGTGCAGCAGCAGGATGACAGGGGGACTCTGAAAGAGACAAACAATCCATTACAGCTACTGTCAGACGAAGAAAAATGGGAAGATACTGTGAAAACAGCTATCAAGTCAGTTTGTCTGATTTGAGACAGTAGTTTACTTGCAGGGTAACAGCCAGTGCACTGGATGGACTTCAGAGAAAGAGCAGAAGAGAAGTCACTTTAGGACACCTTTTTGTTGTTGTTGTTATGTAAATGTCCATTCACACCAATAAGGATTCAACTGTGCAAAAGACGGGTGGATTCTGTTTTCATTCACCAGCTAGAAAAAAGATCATCCTGAAAGTAATTCCAATGCTGTTACACACTACTGTTTAAAAGTTTGGGGTTGGTAAGATTAATTAATTTATTTTATTTATTATTTTCATTTATTTAAGAAGTATCTTATGTTCATCACGAGTGCATTTATTTGATCAAAAATACAAGTAAAAATCTATGGAAAAATATTTTTAGTTTAAAATAGCTTTTCTATTTTAATATATGTGACCCTGGACCACAAAACCAGTCTTAAGTCGCTGGGGTATATTTGTAGCAATAGCCAAAAATACGACTTCAGAGAAAGAGCAGAAGAGAAGTCACTTTAGGACACCTTTTTGTTGTTGTTGTTATGTAAATGTCCATTCACACCAATAAGGATTCAACTGTGCAAACTCTTTAAAGACGGGTGGATTCTGTTTTCATTCACCAGCTAGAAAAAAGATCATCCTGAATGTAATTCCAATGCTGTTACACACTACTGTTTAAAAGTTTGGGGTTGGTAAGATTAATTAATTTATTATTTTCATTTATTTATTTATTTAAGAAATATCATATGTTCATCAAGAGTGCATTTATTTGATCAAAAATACAAGTAAAAATCTATGAAAAAATATTTTTACAGTTTAAAATAGCTTTTCTATTTTAATATATGTGACCCTGGAGTAGTTATTGTCCTTGGTGTCAACATGTGCGGGTGAAAAAGATTCAGTCAGGAAATTCTCCCCTTCATTACTCTCTCATATAAAAAATATAGAAATTATTACAGACATCAATTACCAAGTCCATTTTATGAATAACAACAACAAATTGTTTGGATATCACTTGTAGGCTGACGCATTTTGCAATTGCAGTTAAGAGGGTTTTAACAATGATAAAGTAGCATTATGGAGAGTCATTTAGTGCAAACACAATACATTTTTTCACTTTTCCATGACAAGATCAATGTCAGAATGCTAATCAGTTTCTCAGAACAGCTTTCAGCATAAAATGCTTACACCCTTGGGCCTGACATTCCAAATAATTCCTGTTGACATCATTTAAGAAAAAGACTAAAAAGCATTAAGATCTCATTCATAATGGAGCTATGTGAAGCACAATTCAAAATCCA